TTTCCTTCCCTTTCTTCTTTCCCCTTTGGCCAGGTAAGTGCAAAAGCTCCAGCAGAAACCTCCAAGACCCTGGGGAACTGTCATCATAACGAGACGTCCTTTGAACGACTTGGGTCCCAGGGTCACCTGGAGGTAAACCACCCCGATACACTTGGCCAGGAATGTCCACATTCCACTGTTCAAAGCAAAAATTAACCTTGATTACGATAAACCTCAGACATTACAGCAATCAGGTTATCTGACTCCTACGTATCACATATACTGTTGGGACACACAGAGTTCCTCCATTTTTTCCAGCTCCCTTCTTAATATCGTAAGGATCACCACCGGAGACACACTGGCACAAAAATGAACAGCCAAAACCAGGGCATTATGTAGATTCCTCTAAAAAATCTCACAAAAGTAAATAAAAGAGGTTTTTGGTAGAGATTTTACACAAAATAGGAACAGCCCCTCCCCTATCCAGAAGAGCATTCTTGTCTCAATGGTTGGTTTGCTGATTGACTTATTTTTTGCAAGTGTTTATTCAGTGCCTGCCCTGTACATTGAAAGGAGTTAGGAAGTGTAGTGAAGTGGTGATCAAAGTAGACGTAATTCCCTTCCCTCATAGGGGAGGCACATTATAATTAAGGAGGCAGACAACAAACAGATAATATGTAACATGAATGTCAAAAGTATGGTTTTTCCAGTGGTCATGTATGGATGTGAGAGTTGGACTATGAAGAAAGTTAAGCACTGAAGAATCAATGCTTTTGAACTGTGGTGTTGGAGAAGACTTGAGAGTCCCTTGGACTGCAAGGAGATGAAATCAGTCCATCCTAAAGATCAGTCCTGAATATTCATTGGAAGGACTGATGCTGAAAGCTGAAACTCCAATACTTTGGCCACCTGTTGCGAAGAACTGACTCATTGGAAAAGACCCTAATGCTGGGAAAGATTAAAGGAAGGAGGAGATGGGAACGACAGAGGATGAGATGGATGGCATCACCAACTCAATGGACATGAGTTTTAGCAAGCTCTGGGAATTGGTGATGGACAGGGAAGCCTGGCGTACTGCAGTCCATGGGGTTGCAAAGAGTCAGACACAACTGAACGACTGAACTGAACTGACTGGTAAGTGCTTTGAAGGTTAAAACAGGATAAGGGACAGAAACTGATGGGCAATTTTAGAGGATGCCTTGGAGCAAAGACCAGAATGTCTGGGGACCCCCAGGAACCCCTCCACCCCCTACCTCCCCTGCCAGGGCTGTACTCTGCAAGGCTGCCAATATGATTTTTTTTCCAGCTTCACTGAGATGTAACTGACATGTAATCTTATTTGATTTTAAGGTATATAATATATTGATTTGATAGTTACATACTGTGAAATGATTACTACACAGTGAGTACTAGTATCTTAAGACCCCAGTGAATCAGGGGTGGTAGAGGCAAGCAGGTGGCTGACACACCTGCACAGGGGTTTCAAGACTTTGGGGCCAGACGGAAAGCAGTCGCCTCAGGACTGCTATGGGCGGACATGGGCATCCTAAGGACCACTCTGGGGAGCCCAAGGGCCTTCAAAAGAAGCAGGATATTGGACTTCCCTGGTGCTCCAGTGGTTAGGACTCAGTGCTGCCTCTGCAGGGGGCAGTTTCCATCCTTGACTGGGAAACTGATATCTCACACGGCACATGGCAAAAAAAAAAAAAGCATGATATAGATTCAAATTCAACCAACTAATTACTAAGCACCTCTCTGCACTTCACACTGTTTACTACCCAGCAGCTGACAGTTCAGCCCTGGGAGCATGGGAGCATCATCGATAAGAATTATTCTCAAGGTGACCATATGCCCAGTTGCCAAAACAGTTCTGGGTTACAACTGTTGTCCCATTGAAATTATTTATAGTGGTCCCTTTCACTCTCAAAACTGTCTCAGTCTGAACAAGTTACACGATCACCCAACAGATCCTTATCTATCTGTAGATTGATAAACTCAAAGCCCTAGGGTGGTATAATTAGCTTTTTGTTCAGCACGTATTTATTGATCGCTGTCTCATGCCTGGTGCTCTGTTAGGTTCTGGGGATGTGAAGACAAAGAAGTCATGGTCTTTGCCCTCAAATATCACACTCTCACTGGTATTATTACAATGCCAAATATGATCAAGCCCTCAAGGAATCATGGGTGATGCAGCCATCAGAGGCTGGCCTCCTTTGCATGGTCCTCTTGCATATCGAAGAACTGGAGAAAAGGCCACACCCCTTCACAGCATCATTTTCACCCAGGACTCAATGGGGATCTTAGAAATCTAACCTGAATTCTTAGCCCCCTTTTATGCACTCCCCAGCCACCTTTCTAGCCTTCTTCTGCCCTCAGATCCAATCCTGGACCATCTCTAACAATCCTGGGTCCCCTCTTCTAAATTCCAGCCACAAATATCCAAATTGCAATCAACATCTTCACTTGGATGCCTGATAAGCTTCCAGATTCTACCATAGCCAAAATATTTTCTGCTCTCCACTTCCAAGTCACAAACACCCTCTCCGCTTCTCCTCTCCAACACTTTCCCCTTCAGGTAAATGACGACTCCCCAGAAGCACAGAGCAAAATTTCTGAAGTCATCTCTGACTCCTCTGTCTCTCTCATATCCTGTATCCAATCCCTTGGCAAATTCAGTTTCATCCTCAATATATATCTAAAGTCTGCCTTCTTACGACCACCTGTTCTCCTCCCCTACCTGCTGATCCAAAAACCTGGTGACTGGTTTACTTTGGAAGCTTCCTAACTGGGCTCCCTGCTCTGCCCCCAACCCCACTCGGGTGATTCTCAGTAGAGCACCCAGGACTACCTCTGAAGAAACCTCTCAGACCCTCCAGCAGCTCCCACCTCCCTTGAAATAAAAGCCAAAGTCCATACTGTACTATCAGAGGCCCTACCCGACAGGGCCTAGAATTCTCTTAACCTCTTTTCTATCCATCCTTTCCCCATGTTGTTCTTTGAAAATGCCCTTTTTGTTCCCTCCCTCACTTCTTTCTGATGTCCCTTCAAGTATCACAGCAGTGCTTAGTCGCTCAGTCAGTCCGACTCTGAGACCCCATGGACTGTGGCCTGCCAGAATCCTCTGTCCCTGGGGATTCTCCAGGCAAGAACACCAGAGTGGGTTGCCTCTCCCTCCTCCATCAAAGTAGTGAGGCTGTCTCTAATAACCCTACGACAGTTTCACCCCTGTTCCCCCCTTACTCAATATTCTCTCTGCCTTATTTCCCCCCACAGTTTAATAAACTTACTGGATAAAACATAAGATGCCCAGTTAAATTTGAATTTCAGATAAATAACAAATAATTTTTAGCTTAAGTGTATCCCAAATACTGCATGGGATATACTTATACTAAAAAAAATTTTATTTTTTACCTGAAATTCAAACTTAACTGAGCCTCTTTTATTTTTGTTTGCCAAATATGGCAACCCCACCATATAACATGCTGTTTTACTTATCTGTTTGTTGTTTTCGTCCTCCACACCCCTTCCCCCAAACTTGGCCCTTAGAACATAAGGCAAGGGCTTTTCATCTATTTTGTTCATTGCTGGATCCCCAGAAGCGAAAACAGTGACTCCCACAGAACGATGCTTGATATTCAGTGAATAAATGAAATAAGGTGATCACACTGCATCAGTCTCACCATCGCAGTCTCTGAAGTGTCTGAACTGCTGTGGTTGTTTGTAAATTGTTTCTTAAATCAGTTCCACTCTCTTGCTGCGCTTCTAGACTCCGAGTGTTTTTAATGCAGCAGAAGTCCAGAGGTTGAATTCCTGCTGCAGGTCCCTGTCTATCAAACAAGGCTGGGGAGGGGGCCCCGCTGCCCAGGGGCCCCCAAGGAGAGTGTCCTGCTTTCACAGCACAAACACAGCCAGCAAGCGGAGGACTCGAGTCCTGATTCTCCAGGGTTTACTGGTCTAAGTTTCCAGCCTTTCACCGGGGTGGGGGGGCGGGGGGGAATGTCTATCTCTTCTAATTGCATTTTCTTCTGTCTGGCTTAGTTTTGCATTTTCAGTGTGGATGAGTCATGTGTGACTTCCCTTTTGCCTTTTTAAAAAACACACACCTTTTCCCCTGTGCATTGTTGCTACTCCCACGCACAGCACTGCAGCCCCGAAAGCATGGCTATTAACTGGCCCTTGGATGAACCTGGGCTAAGGTGGGGGCGGGGAGGGTTCTGGATTGTGCGGGGTCCAAACCCGCCGCCTTCGCGATACTGCATGTAAGGTAGGCTCCGGAGTCACAGACGTCAGACACTGGACGGCCCAGCCGAGGAGCCCTTTCTCCACCCAACCCCACTGCATAATTTCTTTGGAACGACATAAGCTTCTGGAAGTTCCCTACGGAAAAGACAAGTCTATTATAAACACAATCAAAGGGAAACTGCTCAGAGAAAATCTATTACAACTGTCTTAACAGCTCCCAACTTTTGAATTCAAGCATACAGAAAATTCTCACAGCTTCATCTCTCCTCTCCATGGACAAGTGCTCCTCTGCTGTTCCATCCGGGAAAAAAAAAAAAATCCCCAAACTGCGATTTAACTCTCAAATACGACCAAACCTGCCTCCGACGCCTATGCCTCGTGGAATCCCCCCAACCAATGAATGAAGTGTTGCCGTCCCCGAGAGACCTTTCCAGAAAGAGCTCCTCTCTCCCGCGGCTGGAGCAGTGAGCACGGAAAGCTGCTTTGGGCGATGTATTTGTCACTGCCTGGAGATCTAGCAAATACTGACGGCTTACGGGGCTACCAGTGTAACACCACCCCGCCGCTTCTTTGGCTGCTTAAGAAAATCCTGCCAGAGATTTTAAAAAAAAAAAAAAAAGTCCAGCCTACAGCTCTCCACTCGGTTGGGAAAACGCACCACCCAAGAAATACGCCTTTTCTGTGCCAGGCGCTCGCTCTGCAGTTATAAAAAGCAGCAGCCAGCAGCGAGGCACACGCGGAACCGTAACTCCATCTTTGAATGAGAGCCTCTTACTTACCCGGCATCTGTCTGCTGTCTGCTGAGTAAGGAAGGCATGGCTCACATTTCTGGCTTTCGTTTTCTTCCATTGTCCCTGCCTCCGGCCCAGGCTCCTCTCTGGTCTTTAAACTTCAGAGCGCCGTTCTGAAAAAACGCTTCCAGAAAGCGCCTGGAAAGGGGCCCGGGGTGTGGGGAGGAGGGGACGGTGCGAAACCCCACCCCAAACTACTCTCCACTCCGGTGCAAAGTCTCTCTCGCCCGGGAAGACTGCATTCCAGCGCCCGGCCTCCCGCGTCCCTCCGCGCGCGCGCGTCCCCGGGTCCGTCCGTCTGTCCGCCCGCCGGGTCCCTGAGGAATGCGGGCTGGGCCCCCCGCCCGCCCCCGCTCCGCGCGCTTCCCCGAGGCCCCAACAGGTGATGCGCTGTCCAGCCCGGGACCCACGCGGGCCCCCCGAGGCAAACTGCGGCGACTCCGCAGCCGGGGAAGGAAAACATGGCCCGGGATCGCCGGCAGGAGCCTTTGCTGGAAGCCGGTTCTCCGTCTCTTTCATCTCACAGAATCAGCCTCCCCAATAGGCTGATATCCTGAAAAAGGAACAGCCGACTGCGAAACGTCCCAAATTTCAGTGAAATCCCTATTAAAAAGGGCAACGAGAAGGACAGGTTATATGCTGAAGGTTCTTAAGTAAACACTTCACCAAGCGTTTAGAGCTTGATTAACAGAGAGATACAGCTGACTTTACACACAGTTTGTCTCTTCGGCTGGACTTTACCAAGTTTGCACTCCTTTGCCTACACTTTCTGAACAGTTCCTCCTCCCCAACACACATAAACACACTCACGTTGATCACAGATCTGAAAAGTAAACTAGTAAAGTCAACCTTCTGAATCTCTCTAGTTCATTAAAATATCAGAAAGGCACTTCAAATGCTTTTCTTTGGATGGGCAGAGTTGCATCCAGCATACTCATTCTCCCTTGAAACTACCTACAAACATTTATTTTGTTCTTTACCCAGTCCTTGAAACACTGGCCGATTTCCTAGAAAGTGAAAAGAGGAGGCACAGTGTCCACAAAAATTAAAGGAAAAAAAAAGTGTACATAAGCTGTGCAATGTACATGCTGCTATTTCAGATATGGGCAAATCACACACTGCCTAGCAAGAGGGTGATCTTTTAATCTGTAGGAGCCGCATCGTTTGGTAGGGGGAAGGAGGATGATTAGCCTGCTGACCATAACTTGGCCCAGTTTACATATCATTCAGACAAGGTTTTAGATTAATTTAGATGAAGATTATGTGCAGAACAATGACTGGCCTATCCTCCAGACTCTGACCTTGAGTCACTTTTGTACTTTGGCAATGTGGGGGACATATTTTGGCCATTTCAGAGAGAAAAGATTTGGAAGCCCATGAAGGACAAGGTCATCATGCAGGAAGTCATATCAGGTCATCGTGCAAGGTCATCACATCAGGAAGGAAAGAAGAGATCCGCTCAACTCCTAGAAGGATTTTTCTTGAAACCCAATAAGATGTTGTGGATCTTCTAGAAAGTTAAAGCCAAGCCCAGTAGCACTGAAGGCAGGCAACTGGGTTGACCTGGGCAGTCAAGGACCTCGTGACTTTGCAACAGGCTGACCTGGTAATCTTGCTTTAAGGAGGAACTAATCATACACACTTTCTGTCCTGGTGGCCTACGGCAAAGGCCAGACGAATCTCCTTTTAACCTGGTTATTTCCTTTGGTTCAGAGGGTTCCTGAAGGAGGGATCTGAATTCAGGCCCCCAGGTCCAGATTATCTGGGTCCTTGTCTAGCTGTTGAGTATTTGTCTTCAAATTATTAATGCCAGAAAGGATGGGGCGGGGTAGAAGGAGCGAGCATGGCAGGGCAGCTCCAGATGTCAGCCTAAACCAGATGTCCCTGGGCTTGCGGCTGTGACACCAACCCACCTTGATTTGGTGTGTGGAGAGCCTATTCCTGGCAGTGTCTGCCTGTCTCTTGACACAGTACAAAGGCAAAAACCCCAGGATGAAGGAGACAGCAAGGCGCCTACAATGGCGGTCTGTCCTCAACAATCTGTAGCACCCAGTCCTACCCAGGGCTCTTCCAGACTAGCTCAACCCAGGCAGAAAAGATGCACATTTAGAGGCAGATTCTGCTTGCCTGGGACTGTTTGGAAAGTGTAAGGGCAGATAAGCTCTCTTGTCGATTTCAGATAAACCAGATGGGGGCTCTCCCACCCATCTCGCACTCTGCTTAGTTCCCCGGCAGCCCAAGGGACCCCCTTGGGTCACTATGTGTCCAGCCCAGCAACCCTCCCCTCCCCCTCAAGCAAAGCCCTCCCCTCCCCCTCAAGCAAAGCTGACTCTGGCCTCTGAAGACATTCCTTGAAGCAAGATTCTTCAGGGAGTGCACAGAAGAAAAAGGCATTTAGCAATGAAGATACTTAACATAAATCATTAAGAACCATGAAATCTAGATATATATTTACGGTAAAGCACGTTCTCTTGAGTAGTCAAACTTTCTGATCGTTCTATGGGGAAAAGCTTCTATTGTACTAGTACTGGCCCTTTGTTCCTCCTCCTCGAGAACAGGAACTGAAAACACTTGGAGAGGCTCTGTATTAATGCCACACATCACTCCCCAAAGCACAAAGCCCTCGCTAAGAACTTTTTGCTGATTGTCAGTTTCTCTGAGCGGGGTCTCTGGCAAACAGTAACCCTTTTCTGCAATCTCCATTAGCTTAGTAATTCAGATCTTCATGAAACATACTATTATTGTCATTGCTGTTACTGTGGGATGTTCTTTCTGGAAGAAACACTATTTGAACTAGATGTACATGAAGCTTTTCGGCTTCATTTAACGTCTGGGTTAAAAAAAATTGCTGTGACAAACCAACCTGCCTACTGCCAGACTTTGAAATTTGTTGTGAAAGGCCTAAAGAAAGCAGGAAGCACTTGAAATGTGAATTTTCCCACAGACACATAAAGACCTACAAGAAAGTTACCAGCAGGCTGTATTTTCAACTCCATTTCGGTTAACCAGGAAAGGTACAAGACGATTTCTTGGTTAATGGCACCATATGTTGGCAATTCATGATTCACAATGAGCTAAGACACAGGAAAGTATCATTCAAAAAGAAAGACAGCTGATGAGATACTAGTGATGTAAGGAGAAATGGTGATTTTTGCACCCAGAGCAAACCCATTGTTGGTTGTGATAATGCAATTTCAATAGGCATTACCATGATGGACACTAATCACAAAAATCATAAATATCGTGTATGACTTCTGGGCAGGCATATTTAATTATAGGGCTGAGGAAAGCATGTCCGTTTTCTTCATCTAAGTTTTTCAAGAAAAAAATCTCTAGAATAAGCATTCGTGGAATCATGCTGCTATGTTTCAATTTTTTTCTTTTCTGTTTTACTTTAAATCCTATTAAGAACAGGATAACTTAAGATGATATGACATTGGGACACAAAAGAAATAATTAATGCTTGCTGAAGTCATAAAATGTAATCTTCCAAGGTTTCCATAACTGTGAAAATCAAACAAAACAAAGTGAAAAACAAGCCACAATGTTTCAACCAGAGACCTCAGGTCTGTTGTGTGATGCATCTTCTCTTCTAAAGGACATGCTGTTGTGTGTCACTCTGCAAGTCAGAAATAAAGGACTTTTGACAACTGGGAAAACATTTGCTTCAATGGATGATCTGGTGAATGAAATGCAAGATCTTCAACCCTCCTGTTGCCAGCAGTGTGTCAGCTGGCTAGGGTGACGGTATACTTAAATATAAACCAGAGCACTTGTGACAGGGAAAGGAGACACCGTTAATAATGACAACAGGACAAGATGCAGAAACTACGACTGTCCCTGGCAAGCCAGCACAGATGGTCACCTAAGTTCAAGATAAGCCCTCCGTACTGTGCGGTTTCCAAATGTGAAATGAACGTGATAATTTCTCCAACACAGACCTCACAAGAGAAACTTACATATTAATTAAATGTGTGAACTTCATCTCTTTATTACAAACCCCACCAACAATTTCACATCGGGAAACACATCACAATACAATATCCTGCATGATTCAGTCATCAAAACAGAGTTTTCCTTTCTGTATCTAGGACAAAGATCTCACAGATGCGACCAGGTCATCATTTATAGCTCCAACCTTCTCTCCAGAGAATTACCCATCTTCTTCACAGTTCTTAAAATCCTAATTGCTGCAAGGAGACCCTGCCAGCCAAGGATAAGTGAGGTGGCCAAGAGCCTCCCCCGTCCCCCCAACCCCCTCACGTCTCTCTATTGCGATGTCCTGGAACTTTCCTCCCCTACATCGTAACAAATTCCTCATGTGGATATAAATATGAGCCACACTTGTATCCAATGTGTTAATGCTTTAAGCAGATTTGCTTTCTTTTCCAGAGAATCCATTGATGTTCATTTTTATAGGGGTTTCTTTTTATCTCTTTGAAGTTGGTAGATGCTAGAGAGAACAGACCTTGTCTACATACCACCCCAGCGATGCTGTCTTGTGTGCACCATGGTGGGGAGGTGCCAGACCCTGGTCACTGCAGACCCCGTCTGGATCCTAGGTGGAAGCTTTTAAGTGAGAATCGCAACTTGTAGATGCTCGCGCCTCTTCTACCAGAGCGATCTAAACCCCAACGTATTCTACAGAATTCCAGGGTGGAATCCACAGAATGTGAGAACGTCCACAGATGTAAGCGCCCTGCTGGCTGCCTCGCTTTTCCCAGGGGTGCCGTTATGAACCCTTTCAATATGGAATATTTGGTGAGGCCTCGCTGGAAAGAGACTTCCCGGGCCTATTTCTGCTTTGGGCTTGTCCACGTGGCTTTCCTCAAAGCAGTGAGTTCTTGGGAGTGGAAAGGGCAATGAGAACTACAGGAGTCAATCACAGAGCCAGAAGGCTGGGATCCTGGGGTTCCTTTCTCCCCACTGGCCTCTCCCATTCTGCAGATGAACAAACTGAGGTCCGGAGTGTTAATGCCAGTCAGGCCCCATCTCTCCTATATTGTGGTCAACCTTAGCCCTGTTATACTTGCTAAGTATTTAGGATCTTTTTTTTTTTTTAATTATTGCAGTATAGTTGGTTTACATTGTTGCATTAGTTTCAGGTGTATAGCAAAGTGAATCACTTTTGACAGTGTTGATTTAGTTGCTACGTTTTGCAGGCGGAATCTTTACTTAACTGAGCCACTAGGGAAGCCCATACATATACATATATCCGTTATTTTTTAGATTCTTTTCCCATATAGGTCATTACAGAGCATTAAGAAGAGTTCCCTGCACTACACAGTAGGTCCTCATTAGTTATCAAT